AATTGATTGAGAAGGAAGCTGCCTCGTCTGAACGGTTTTCTCAACCAAAATCCTACTTGCCATTTCGTCGGAAAAAGAGATGGTACCGTTATTGGTCTACGGCAGATTGAGTCAAAAACCACCAGATAAAGTGTATATTGAGCGATTTCGTTGTCTACTGTGGAAAGATTGGTTCTCAACTAAATTTCACGAAAACGGTGCTGAAGAAAAAAGGATCTATTTCTTATACCTCACGCACTCTCAGCACAGTAATTATCTGTGAATGTTCCAGGTAGCATGTTGGTCAGGGAAACAACATGTGGAAGGACTCAGCTTTATAAATGAGGCTGAGAAAGGAAGCGAAATGGAAGCTCTTCAAAAAAATTAAGGTTTCAGTGGAGAGACAAGAATCACGTGACCTCACTTCTACCCATATAAAAGAGGCACATAAAATGGTTCAAAAATAAAAACGATCGTCAATCCTTCATGTCCACGTAATCGCCGAAAATCCGATCCACACGTAAGCAGAATGGAAGATGTTATCAAACACGGAATCGAGAAGTTATTGAGAGTATATACAAGTGATAGAGTGAGTGTAAACTACCACTCAAACAATGATTAGTACGTCCATATACGAAAATGTCGAGAATCATATGGGACGAACACCTGATGCGGCTAGATCGATGGGTAGCGACCGTAGTGTATTAGATCTTACGAAATGTCGGGCGTCACATCGGGAGCATATCCGGCACGATGCCCAGAATCATCGACACAAATAAAAGATAAAGGATAGAGCTTCCGGCGTTGATCATTCCCTGAGGGATGCGCCGTGCATTCATCTTCAATTTTTTAACTTCGTTCGAGGTGATTGAATGCATTTCTGGCCTTTACAATGACTGGCGGTGGCCTCCCGCTGTACCAAGTCACTGCTGCTCTGGCACTAATTTACCGAACCCGGAGAGATGGACGGCTTGGTGAGTTGTGAGCGCGAGATCGAACCATTGACCTCGTGTGCGACGCAGAGCACCTCTAACCACTGCGCCACATGCGCTCTTTCAGCAGATATTAGTAGAAATTTATCATGCTCAGCATGTCCGCGGAACGAAACATGCCGGAACCTCGAACCCCACAAGGATAGATGCTACTTGACTGCCTCCAGCTCAATCCACTTGAAGGTAAACAGAAGAACAGGTGTTATAGGTATCTATGCTTTTCGTATATAATGGGCAAAAAAAATCTTCAAAAAATCCTCTCTATAGGCTGGAAAACATTTCCAGTTGAAGATGTGCTTGTATGACAGACCACAGCAAGATTTTGTAGATCCTGCGTTCTTGCTATGGAATTATTATTGTTCACTGTTGAAAAAACTAGCTTCACTCATTCTGCGTTGTGTTCTTACCTTCTAAGGACTACAGTAATCTACTTTCACGGACGGAGCGTGATTTTCGATATTTGATAAAGACTGTTTTGTTCACTGTAAAGAAAACTTAGGTTTTTTGCGTGGTATCGACTTTCCAAAGTTCTTTTCAGAGGCTCATGAACTTTATATTCGTAAATATCTCTTGTGTGTGAAGAAAACTCTAAGTGTGAAACGTAATGATCTTTTTTCTTTTAGGATGCATTATGATGACCTTCTTACAAACTTTAACTCGAAATCAGCGAGGTGTATGCTATCAAACGAGTACCAGTCTAATTTATTAGAAATTATCCACTGACATTATCCACGGGAAACAAAGCACTCTAGGTTTAAAACACGATTTCATTGCGTTGCTGCACTTCACTGTGAAGACGTTTTTAGAGAGCCACTATAATGTTGAACTCGTCAAGACCTAGGCTTTCGAAGATTAGTTTAAATCTAGTGGGAATATAGTCTGCGAGAATGTTTAGAGTCTTTTTGGGTTGGTACTCCAAAGGCTTATGTACGTTTCGGCAGTATCTCCCGCTTCGTCACATCCACATTCCCAACACTAAACCCTACTTTACAACAGTGACAGAGGGATGTTATGGTGATAACAGAAGAGGATTCAGTGTTGAGCTTGCTGCTTTGGTAGAACGGGTAATATTACCAAAACGTAAAATAGCCACTGACGTACTGACCTCGAAAAGCCTCTAAACATTCTTACGGATTATTTTGAAGTTTATAACAAGTTTTCAAGACAGTCGATTGGAAGGATGTCTACATATTCACACCAGTCGTAATCCATCATTTGAATAAATGATGATAGCACAGTATCATGCGCTATCATCACAACGTCTTACCATACCTGCTACTAGGTCACCAACTAAGTTTGTGAACTTGATCTAAAAAATAAAAATTTTGCCATAAAAACAAATTTCTCTTTCTTCTGTTTTGTACAGAACTTTCTTACGCATCGTTTGTTATATTTTTGCACATACTTGTCCAACAATGGAGCCGTCATCGGAAGTCATTTGCAACTTACTGCTTCATGAGTTCCAATTAGGGCACAATTTTCAAACTGCGTTTGACAATATCAGTCGTGCAAAAGGCCGCCAAGTTCTGGGTAGAACTACGGCGTATGAATAGTTTACAAAGTTTCGGAATGGAGATACTGATTTGGTCGATCGACTAAGATCAGGAAAACCTTGTGAAATCGATCGAGAAGCAGTCATTGAAGCGATTGAAGAAGGTCCGACTTTGACACCCGTTGATTTGATTGCCGGAGGGTTGGGGAATTGCATCCACGCAGACGGAGAATACTTCAGCCAATGTTATTTGATAATTTCGATCACTTGGGAAAATAACTTTTTGAATTTTCGGATCAAGTTCCAAAACATAGTTAGAGACCTAACATAAAGTTGGGTGCAGTGTGGGGCATGCGGCACTGATTAAGGTGGCGATACCGTCGAAACGTGCGTCACTGACGTACCAACCTCGAAAAGGCTCTGAACATTCTCACAAACTATATTGATGGTTCGTAGCGAGGTTTGAAAACAGTTGTTCGAGAGTATCTTTATGGAACTGTTTTGTCTGGAGAAGAAACCTCATATAGTCCTGCATTGAGTACGATATACTTTGGCCGCAAAGGATTAGTGACAGCCGAGTTGTCTAGGCGCATGGTCTCTCAAGCTCCTTAACATGATAATTGACATGCTTATAGTGAGAACCATGCAAAAATGAGCAGAGGCGCGATTTGATATGGTCCCATGGATTGTTACAAGATGATATTATTTTCGGAGCGGTTATGGCATTCCGAGATTTCTACACAAGTGTATTCAATGGCAGGCTAACAAGGTAAAGCACTCACGGAAATGCTAATGGTCACTATCCACGATAACGAGTATATTCATTTTCACTAAAAGCCTATTGTGCTGAGCTCGTGATGGCCCAGTGAATAGAGCTGCTGTATCCATTGCTTGTTACAAAGAAAGGTAGAGCGCCATCGAAGAACGAATGGCAGCAAAGCAGCGGTCTTGGTGGTGTAGTTGTATCACGTGTCCTCGGTATGGGTGGAACGTGGGTTCATTTCCCGTCTGAGGTCGAATATTTTGCATCTCACTTAACATTTTCGCATAAATATAGAAAAGCCTTCGAAGTCCACAACGTCGAGCACTGTAATAATTGCAATATGTTTGTATCTTTGATAGTTTCAACTTCTGTACTTGCTTTAGAGCTACCTGATAGCTTTCAAGACCACAATGAACATGACTTGTGAGTACAACAGAAAAATAAAACACAACACGGTCTTCGCCGAGCAGGCTTGGACACTGCCAAATTTAGTATATGGTGAAGTAAGAAATCCAGGCAATTTGAAACCTCTTCTCAGGCACAGAGTGCGGAGGCTCAAATCCTGGCAGTTTTCGATCCCTTAAGTAGAAACTCTCAATACGGTAAACTTGGCGCTTTAACGTAAAATTTAGCTAAGGTAGCGAGCCTTTAGATTACTGTTATCTTGAGTAGAGCTTAGCCGAAAAGTGGTAAATTTAGCAGAGATTCGATTACATGAAGACCGAGAATTGTACATCTTGCATCAGGTCAGCATGGCTTCTTGGTTACTTTGTAGAAGGATTGCCCTACCCAGAAAACATCACATTTATAGAGTAGTCTAAATTTGAAGTTCATCGCGGCGATTTCTTGCTTTATGAAGGAATAGTTGATTGCAAATTGATGCGCTTGTGAGTCTGCTGACGTTCAGCATTATGACAATTGTTTTTCAAGAATGAATACTAATTAATTCTATCCATTTCATTCCGTGATTTTCTTTCCTTCGGCATACACGAGGTTTTTAATACAAGTTTATTTTGTACAAAGTAGTACAAGAGATCGTATCTGTGGCTAACGTTTCGGCAGTCTTCGATCTCTATTGTACTACTTTATACAAAATAAACTTCTATTAAAAACCTCTTGTGTGCTGAAGCAAGAAAATCGCGACGTATTATTTCATTCAATGTCGACTTTAATCAATAGTCGCTCTTGGGAACCACTTCATTCCTGTTGTTAAAATTACTTCAACAAACAGAACACTTCTTCTGTAATTTATAATACTTTGCACAGGACTTAATATAATCATTATTGCGGATGCAATTAAGACTTTGTCCGATTCCTTCTGACCTTTGTAGTAGATGATGACTTCTCTCGTTGCACAGAAGGAGTTGACGGACGTTGTCCAGATATAGGCGCATTGTACGCCGAACCCGCCTGTCACAAATAAAGCCAATAGTGAAAATATGCTGATCACAAGAAATAAACTATTGCGATATCAATATTAATTTCAAACTTCTATTTTATGAGATTTCCATAATTTATAAGTGAAAGCTTTCCTCTTTCTTAAACATTTGTTAGGAGGATTTTGAAACTAAGCGAGAAAGCTGTTATCTCCACCGTTTTTATAAGTTACTTCGAACAGACAATTTGCACTTCCGCACAGGGAATTTATACTCGTCAAGCATAATGACTGGAGAAAATCAACAATATTAGAAACAACGCTTCTGTTTTTCCTGTTTTTTACAGTGTTATGATGTTCCAAATACACCTAAGAGAAGTGAGTGGTAGGCAAAAAACGAGATCTCAACGGGAGCTGAATCCGCGTTTCACCCGTACCAGGGGAGCGTGATACCACTACACCACCGAGGCCACCGCTTTCCTACCACCCATTCTTCAAGATCTCTCTATCAGTGTCAAAGCCTATAGCAACTATTCTCCAATTATACCGTTTGTTTCAAGTTTTTTTCCAAGACGAAGCTCAAAATTAAATATAACTCACAGTTATTATTTGAGCCAACATTATAGTCTATTATGGGCTCTTTTGCAGCCCGCTGCATGTGTTTCGGCGCTGCAGCCTCGTCAGTCGGGCAGGCCCTTCGTCTTTAGCCGATCCTCTCGGGAGCCCTTACATCCTCTCACAAAAGGTAGGTGACTATAGAGTAGAGAGTCTAATATTTCGAAATTACCAAACAAGAACAATCGAGTGTCAGAAACACTGCCAATCTAGCGATTTATTCCACTCGACGGCAAGGTGTGTAAATTGTTCGTCGTCGTCTACTCTTTATAGAGGGATGTAGAGATCCCCGCGAGGACTGGCTAAAGACGAAGAGCCTGCCCGACTGAGGAGGCTGCATGGCTGAAGCACGTGTCTCGGGCTGTACAAGAGCCCATAACAGACCACATGACATGTTGGCTTAAATAATAATTATGAGATATTCTTCAATTATTAGCTATCAATTATATAATGGTGCGTTTTCTATGATAACTAGGTGGGAAAATAATTATTACTATCTTTGTTGAGATTGCGTGGTAATGTTACTGCAAGCAAACATTTGGAATTACATTCAAGAGGGACTTTGCTTGATATCATCACCAATTTTTGCTTTCTAACATCTTTTTGGTAGCTTTGTAGGTTGTCTAACTCAAACTTCGCATATAGTAGGTTCAAGGAAAAAATGGCTGAACAGCGAACTATCTTGACGGACTTGTCTCATACGATGGTAACAAGTTGGTTGAAAAGCCAGCTCTTGTATCTGATGTGCTCCCGTGGCATTGATAAAACAAGTGCCAAGTATGTTTCCAGGAAGCAAAATTAAAAGTCCACCAGAATTTTCGCCTTTTTGTGGAAGTATTCAAGCAGTCTTGCAAATCATTATCCCCTTCACCTCGATTACGTTCTTGTGGTCCATGTGATCAGCCATACATCACTTCAGGTAGCTAATCGTTAACGCTACCAACATGTACTTGCTCCTTACCTGCTGCTATACGTTAACATACTACTGACTCAATATCGTTCCCCTCCCCCACCTCTTATATATAAGTATTATCGTATTGATACTATGAGTATGGCTAAATTCGTTTAGTGCGCTATATGTTTTGCAGGCTAACCTCATGCCTCTATTACTATGACACGTATGTATAAGCTCATATTGTGATTAAGGCCGCAAATGAGCTCAATCACCTAAACGGATGACGAGTGCAAGGCAACGGAACGGGTAAAAAAAGTGCTGCAGTCTAGAAAGAATATGTAAACAGGCTGTCCAAATATCTGTGAACTTGAGAACGACCATTACTCAACTTTGATGGCAGATTTTATGTCTTTCATGAGGTCTATTAAGGCACTTTTAGTGCTAAACGTATGTTTCGGAATTTCAGCCTTATCAGTAGCACGCTGCTTTTCGATTGTGCCAGTTCCTTGTGAAAGAATTTACCCCATACAGTGTCATAACGCATCTCATGAAAGGCTGGTGATATGTTATCAAGTCATATATATTGTATATAAAGCGAGCCTTTAGAAAGCTGTCGAATATAAAGGTATTATTTAATTTAACAGCCATGAGCAATCGACTGTTATTCATTGCAATGTTGGGTGATCTTGTCAATTGACATGTAAGGGATCGTTATTACGGCAGTGTGAAGTAAACTTTTCACTGACGTGCGATGTAACATCTTCGGCGTTGATTCCTCCAAATATAGAGGACATAACCGCTTACGAGGATCTGACTGAACCGAAATTCACCGTGACCCTGATGAGGCCGAAAGGTCGAAAGTACGTCTAGCACTAAATAAGTGCCGTAGCAGACCTCATGAAAAGCTTAAAATATGCTGTCAGATTAAATATAAATTTATTAAAATGCAGCATTTTGTACAACGTCGCTGTTATCGGGTACATATTTGTACAGTGTCAGAGGTTCGACTTTCAATCTGCTTTGATCCAAAGAACAATTGGTGAACTTCAGACGTCTGAGGTTCCAGATCATAATGATATGAATGGCTCGGGTTTAGGATACTTGCCAATATCCATTTTGTTATTGGTTATCACCGCATGAGAAACAGTCGACTTATTGAGCATTACTTGCAGAAAGCTCTAGGGCCAAGGGCATACTCAGAAAACGCTTCAATATTGTTTTTCGGGGCGGAGTACCTCAGGCGATAGTGGAAAGAGATGCTAGCATTCCTCGGATTCCACAAATGTTCTCTAATTTTTTTACAGGCTGCTCATAGTCGAGCGTCAACTTCATCATCAAGGACAATCCACTTCGTGGTTTACAGTAATCTGCTATCCTAGCTGCTTATATTCAAAAAACCCGCAGCTAACAATCGGAGATCCATGCGCATACTGATACTAGTTAATTAAGTTGTAAATTCTTTTACTCTTGAAGAAACTGAGGCCAAGACAAGAACCTCTGCATTTATTCTTTTAAATCATATCATTGTCGTATGATTTTGACTTTTCAATCACTGCCTAACCATATTTCTAAAGGACACGGTATCACGTACGGTATAATCACAAGTATGCCAAGATGCGAGCGAAATTTGGAACCAATGTTTCTGTCTGTGGACTCAAAGTGCCACCATACCATTCCATGGGCAAGGAATTGGAACTGTGATTCCACCTATCACTTCTGCCTTAATGGGGGTTTAGCGCCGATTTGTGCTCCCTCGATCAATTCCTCTAACGTCTGATTCTTGACAACTATAGAATTGATCAAGATGCCTGTAGTTATCGAAGATCAATCAATGATTAGTGCCATAAATTGACAAAAAAATTCATCTTATATCAAATGGATAATAATGCTACGAACAAAATGCTTTATCATCACTTCACATGATACCTAAAAATACAAGGTGACGAAACAGTTCGGACCTTATTTGCTTGTTCATTTTCACGTGTTTCAATGTTTTTTTGGTTTATATTTGCAACCTTTGAAGTGTATTCACGTCCTTAACTCTTCTGCGCCTTCTAGAAGACGGAGGGACTGTCAAAAAAGTTTAGACCTTCGATAGCAGTGGTTCAAAAGATTATTAAGCTGTGAAGTAAAGATAAGGAAGTAAAAGCTGTCGTAATGTGAGGATTGGGTTGCTTGTGTACCATCAAAACCATGCGGATCCACGGAAATATCAGTGAGAAGATGGGATGGTGACTCCAGTCACACCACACTGACAAAGCTCCTTCGGAAGAGCTAGCTCATCCATATAATCTACAAAAAAAGAGTAGCGTCAACTTCAAAGTCAGTCCATCCCATTGCCGACATCTAACCGACACGGCTAAGTTGAACAAGCTGAAGAAATGGAAGAAACTGATCAACGAGTATTAAAAATCTGTCCGTGTCCACTGAGAAGATTTCTGCAACCGCAGCATTTTCTTGCATGTTCACAACGTGTGTCACTATTATTCATATGAAGAAGCAACTGAGAGGAAGAGAAATTGACATACTTTGACTCCTTCTTAGAAGAATGGTGACCTATGAAGAAACCATCGGGAATAGTAAGCCATTCGGCTCTTCATTAATGATTTTTCCGAGAATTTCTACCAGTCTTTCGTGAGAAAAAATTTCTTTTGAAATGCAAACAACTTTTAATTATCGTTTGAATGCCTGCTAAGAAAAAAACAGTCATGCTTAAGTAAGTGAAGTTAAATTCTGGAAAACACCTTAAGTTATGTAGTGTTATATTACTTTAGTGCTTATATTTTCCTTCTTTCTACCTAAACGTAATTTTAGTTATTAAGCCGGAAGAAAGCTTTTGAAACTCTCACCACGGTGAAATCAGGACGAGGAATTTGTAAGATACGCTGGAGATGCTTTGCGATGTCTGCCATTGAAAAGCGATCATTCGGATTGGTCGACCAACATCGAACCTAAAGGAGTTCATGCTTCAATCTTCCTCTTCTTCGGTTAAAATCGACGGCAGCTTGATTACTTATATTGAGCTACCTTCTAATATAATACCACTCTCATAAATTTACTCTTCGAAAACTGCAGAAAAGAGAAGATTTCTCAACAATCATCTCTACTACTGATGCGAACAAAATTTTTGAAGGTCAGATTTTTGTTCAGATTTAATAGTGAGTATCATTCATGTTAGACTAAGAGCTTGACTGACGAATTCCAAACATTCTACGTGGTGTAGCAAACAGTGAATATTGAGGCAAATTACCTTAATAAGATTTTGAATTTCAGGAGCAATGAAGACCGGGAGCTCCATACGGTAACCCTCTCTCACCTAGAATTGTTATCATGGTATTATCAGTATAAGATCAAAAACAAAATAGAGACGAACGTTTTGATTGACTTCAGCTACTGTCATTCCTGGATACGGTTCTATCCCATTATTGTATATTTCCCAACACATTATGCCTGAAATTATAGCGTAGGGCTACAGTCTCTGTGAGAGCTGGGTCTCCTACCGTAGCTAAAGACATCAGTTTTTTGTGTGTATATAGCCATTTTGAGCGTTTCGGGTGCGAGCCAACGAATTGGAACTCTCTTGTGCGGGTCCATTTGGTAGACTGTACCTTCTCTAGTTAATCCAAAATCGGAAATTTTGACCTGAAAAAAAAAGATTGTTACTCGTTAATTTTCGGCATCTTCTTCAAACATGCACACATGTCTCGTTTCGAATAGATTCTGAAAAAGCTTCTTGAACGAAACAACAACTTGTAGTTTTATAACTGCGAACAGAACAGAAGTTTACATGCCCAATCACAATAAAATGCCTGCCCTCTGGATTGTATAGAGAATCTGAGGGCGTTGTCAGCGGTGGCTCGGTTGTCAAAGATTTTTTGCGAGTATTTATGCAAGTACATGTTTAATGCTTGATAGTTTGGAACTTTTGTTAAATGTAGAACTGGTATCAGTCCTCTATGAA